CTGATTAGAATGGCTCACATTCACTGTTAGTTGTCGCCAATCAGAGAGAACATATCATATTTGTCCCTTTGGGACTGGCTTAGTTCACTCAGCATAATGTTTTCCAGATTCCTCCATTTTGTTGCAAATGTCTGGGTTTCATTGGTTTTGACTGCTGTATAGAGTTCTATAGAGTACATGTCCCATAATTTCTTTATCCAGTCTACTGTTGATGGGCATTTGGGTTGGTTCCAGGTCTTAGCTATTGTGAATTGAGCTGCAATAAACATTAATGTGCAGACAGCTTTTTCTTTGCCAATTTAATTTCCTTTGGGTAAATCAGCTCTTGTCCTCTTTATGTACAATGTAAAACTTTATCACTTCAGAATTTTCTCTTTGTTTTGTTCTAGTACTATTCGTTGAACTCTGTGATTAACACACAATTATTCTTAGGTGTTTAAATTTTAACTGAAAAGTGATCCCTGTTAAATATAAGAGTGGGAATAAGAGAGGGAGGAGATGTACAATTTGGGACATGCTCAATCAGACTTGCCCCGAATGGTGGAGTTAGAATCATGCCAGGGGATCCCAATACAACCCCATCAATGTGGCATGTACCAATACCTTCTCACTAATCCAAGTGATCAATTTCAGTTCACAATTGACCACACTGTTAGGTCTAAGAGTCAAGGGGATCACACAAACAAGACTAGTGTCTGCTAATACTAGCTAATAGAATCAAAAAGGGAGAGAACGATCCATCATGGGATGCGGGATACACAGCAGACTCACAGAATGGCAGATGTCCTAAATAGCACTCTGGCCTCAGAATCAGCCCTTAAGGCATTCGGATATGGCTGAAGAGCCCATGAAAGTATTTTAGGCATGGAAAGCCAAGACACCCTGGAAAAAAAAAAAAAAAGAAGATCTAAATGGAAGATCTCTGCAAGTGAGATCCCAGTGGAAAGAACGGGTCATCAAAGAAGGAGGTACATTTCTCTAAAGGGAGGAGAGAACTTCCACTTGGACTATGACCTTGTCCAACTGAGATTGGACTTGGTGAACTCAAAAGGCTTCCATAGTCTTGGCAACTCATGACTGGAGCCTAAGGAGATTACTGACGCCATAAAGAAGAGTGTCAAATTGTTAAGTCAACAACAGGAGTCACTGTGTACTTACTTCTCATGTGGGGGTCTGTCCTTAGTGTGTTGTCCAATGTGAAGTAATGCTATAACTAGTACTGAAACAGTATTTTACACTTTGTGTTTCTGTGTGGGTGCAAACTGATGAAATCTTTACTTAATATATACTGAATTGATCTTCTGTATGTAAAGATACGTTATCCCTCTTACTATTTTTTTTGTCTGTTCTATTTAATAATGCTGGTTTAATTCTGCAGTTAATATGCAGTTTTCTTAAGTGTTGAAATTTAACTGACATGTGATCCCTGTGAAATATAAGAGTGGGAATAAGAGAGGGAAGAGATGTACAATTTGGGACATGCTCAAGCTGACTTGCCCCAAATGGTAGAGTTAGAAACATACCAGGGGATTCCAATTCAATCCCATCAAGGTGGTATGTACCAATGCCATCTCACTAGTCCCAGTGATCAATTTCTGTTCACAATTGATCATAATGAAAGGACTAAGAGTCAAAGGGATCACATAAACAAGTCTAGTGCCTGCTAATACTAACCGATAGAATAAATAAAGGGGAGAGCGATACAACATGGGAAGAAAGATACATAGCAGACGCATAGAATGGTGGATGTCCTAAACAGCACTCTGGCCTCAGAATCAGCCCTAAAGGCATTCGGATCCAGCTGAAAAGCCCATGAGAGTATTTCAGGCATGGAAAGCCAAGACACTCTGGCAAAAAAAAAGGACCTAAATGCCTAGATGAAAGATCTCTGTGAGTGAGATCCCAGTGGAAAGAACAGGTCTTCAAAGAAGGAGGTACCTTTCTCTGAAGGGAGGAGAGAACTTCCACTTTGACTATGGCCTTGTCTAAACATGATCAGAGTCAGTGAACTCAGGGGGCTTCCATAGCCTTGACAGCTCATGACAAGAGCCTAGGGTGATTACTGATGCCATAAACAAGAGTGTCAATTTGTTAAGTCAACAACAGGAGTCACTGTGCACTTACTCCTCATGTAGGATCTCTGTCCTTAATGTGCTGTACATTGAGTTTTAATGCTATAATGAGTATTCAAACCGTATTTTTCACTTTGTGTTTCTATGTGGGTGCAAACGGTTGAAATCTTTACTTAATGTATACTAAACTGATCTTCTGTATATAAAGAAAATTGAAAATGAATCTTGATAAAAATGGAAGGGGAGAGAGAGTGGGAAAGGGGAGGTTTGCGGGTGGGAGGGAAGTCATTGGGGGGGGGAAGCCAATGTAATCCATAACCTGTCTTTGGAAATCTATATTTATTAAATAAAAGTTAAAAAAAAGATAATTGAAAATGAATCTTGATGTGAATGGAATGGGAGAGGGAGCAGGAGATGGGAGGGGTGTGAGTGGGAGGGAAATTATGGGGGGGAAGCCATTCTAATGCATTAACTGTACATTGGAAATTTATATTTACTAAATAAAAAACAAATTAAAAAAAGAAAAAAAAATTCCACTTAGTAGAAATGTGAAAATCATTATCAACAGCAAAAAATTTGAGCAACAGAAGAGTAAATGACAGTTTACAAGTCCAGAGGTAATATCTGTGTAGACTTGAGTCAAAGTATAAATTATTTTTGAGTATTAAAAGGCAGGCTGAATCAGTAATAATAACAGCCTTTTACAAATTAAAGAATTAAAATAAATTAAGAATTAACAGAACATAATTAAAAATAACAACATTGGAAAGTGAAATTATATGATATATGGGTATATAAGGATTTGGAATCTTAAATTGGTACAGCCAGTTTTTCAATACAGGGTACAAATTAGATGAGACTAAGAGTAGAAAAAGAAGTGGAATGGAATGAATAAAGGCCTGATTTGGATACTGACCTCCTAAATTATGTCTACATGAATTTTTTTACCATAAAAGATGTACAAGGAAGTTGTTTTTGAAGATGCAAGATGTAGTGTTTATTTCATATTTATCAAAATTGTGTGCTTATGATTTGTGTTTAAGCACGATTCTCTTTAGTATCTCTAAAGATTTGAGTCTTTTCACATTTCTGCAACAACATGATGTGGTTTTCCTAACGTCAACAAAATCTTCCAAGCTGAGCTGCTTGCTCATTTTCTACAACTTCAGTCATTGGCCAAAACAAACTCTATGGGGAATATTTATTTCTGAGCAATTCATCAGTGCCTATCATCCCTAAAATCCTGTCAGAGGTTTTTACTTGCTCAGCTGATCTACAATGGTGAGTAGGAGAGTATAGACTTAAAGCATCCTGCAAATCTCATTTTCTTTCTGCATAACATCCATATTTACTATTTTCTCCCTAATTTTCTACTTTTCCCTCTTTTCTTGGTGACCACATTGAAAGAGGGAGTATTAGATATTCCTTGTATTAAAATAATCAATTTTAAACAACAATACCTTGACAGTGTTGAGACCTACATGATTTCCCCTCACACTCTTTACCTATTCCATTGTATCTGTGACAGCACAGTTGCTATAACTTTCTTTTCTGAGACTGTATGTGACAGATCAGTTGAGTGACTAATCTTAATAAATGACAGAAAGAATGCCATTCATTCCCGGAAAGTCCGTGTGGTCTGAATTAGTCTTTCCTCTGCTGACAGCATCCGGAGGGTTGGGGTGATAGATAGTAAAAGGACTCAACTTCATTTGCTTGATTATCCAATTTTCTTACTCTTTTAAATAGGTTTCATCACACTTTTAAATAATTATATTTATGTAAGTTGTTCTGATACCTACTGTTTATTTTGTCAAGATGATAGCATTTTATTTTTTAAAATGCACCCTTAAATTCTTATTAGGATAAATTGTTAGAATTTTGTTTAGTGTTGTTTTACATTTAAAAAAAATGACAACTGGCATAATTGTAAATAGACTCTTACCCTTCAGAAATACTTATATGGTAAATACCATATCTATTAGTGTTTTTTTTTAAGGTAACTTGACAAAGACACATGGTCCTTATAAAAGTGTTCCTATGCCCTAAACTTATTTTAAGCATGTATAGAATTAATAACTGATGTAGGATTATAGGATTATGCTTAAAAAATTTTTTCTAATTAATTTGAGAGGTTGAGAGTCAAGGAGGTGACAAAGGGACAGTTAGGAATGTAGGAGGAGAGAGAAGAAAAGAAGCAGCAGGAGCAGAAGAAGAGGAAGAGGGAAGGAGAGAGAGATAGATCTCATAATGTGTCAATCTTCAAATGCTCATATAGTGAGTTTGGAGTTGGAAAGTCAATCCATGTATCCTATTTGGGGAGCAGGGACTCAGCTACATGAGCTATCACCTGCTGCTTCAGAGGGTGCTCATTAGCAGAAACCTGGAATTGGGAGCAGAGATGTGACTGAAACCCAGGCACTTCAATATGGAGTGTGTCATCTTAACAACTCAGAGACAGTGCCAAGCCTTCGGGTATTTAGACATGATTTGTTAGCTCCCAGTGTGTTTTAGTAGACACAAGCTTTCTATAAGACAATATTATACTTCTTCAATATTTGCATTTGATTTGACTCAACTCCTATTTTTTCAGAAAAAAAACAAATACTTGGAATATTTTTTAAAGATATATGGCCATCCATGTTTTTCTTGCTTATGTTTGTAATCAGAAATGAAACGGTAGTGTCTAAGAATAGAGAGTTGTTTAAATACATGATACATTCCAAAAGTTGAAAAATAAATGAAATAAAATAAAACAATATATCAGATTCCACACCCTCAGAAGCCTCTTTCATAGACAACAGTTATTCAACTTTAAGAGAAATAAAACAAAAATAAAAATACATTCCTTAAAAATGTTCTTTTTCTGTAACAATTAGCAAATAAGTAATATAAAATTCTAAGAATCTCCAGAATAGAATGTTGGTTTCTTACACCAAATTGTTTGACATCAAATCTTCCCTATGCTACTCAAACTAACTGGGCATCCAAGGGTAATGTGATTGACTTCTCTGTGCCTCAATGCCGTCATCTATCACATTGGAATCATGATAATTATCCTTTGTGTTGTCTTAGAGGAAGCTATTTAAGCTCATAACATCTTAGTTTGCTCTTCCCTAAAACAGTGATTAAAAACAGTAAAGCAATATTGGATTACTGTATAGTTTGACTAATGTAAGATATATATAATATGAATACTATTTGGCAAATGAGTTGGTACACATAGACATGTATATGGTGCTTGGCATGTATTGAACTCTCCCTTATCATTAGTTATATTTATAAAACACTCAAAATCTGCAGAGATTTTTATCTGTTTTTACTTCCAGGTGAAAAATTATGGACAATGCAAGCTCAAATATAGTCAACTTTAAAGGCTGCAAATTTGAATATTCTTTGGATAGGAACCTATTAGAAAATGTAGACAACTTTGAAATTAGAGATGATGATGTTTTCATAATTACCTATCCAAAATCAGGTAAGCTTAAGGAGTGGCTCATGTGATACCAGTCTTCACTTAGCCTTAGTAGAACATGTGTACTAGCCGGCACTGTGGCTCACTTAGCTAATCGTCCACCTGCAGCGCCAGCACCCTGGGTTCTAGTCCCGGTTGGGGCACTGGGTACTAGTCCTGGTTGCTCCTCTTCCAGTCCAGCTCTCTGCTGTGGCCCGGGAAGACAGTGGAGGATGGCCCAAGTGCTTGGGTCCCTACACCAGCATGGGAGACTTGGAAGAAGTATCCGGCTCCTTTGGCACAGCACCGGCCGTGGCAACCATTATGGTAGTAAACCAACGGAAGGAAGACCTTTCTCTCTGTCTCTCTCTCACTGTCTATAACCAACTGTCAAAAAAAAAAAAAAAGAACATGTACTAATGTACCTTTTTCAGATATCAAAAGCAGCACAACCCACATTTAAATCATAAACAGTATTTATGATTAGAAACAGCATACCCTGAAATCTCAATAGTATAAAGCTATTTGCAATGCACATATTGTCAATTCTGATAGGAAATATGGAAAAATCAAAATTTGAGCCAAGAGAAATACTACATGATTGTTGACCTGTTCATGTTGTCTGAAACAAAATTACATTTTACATAATTTGCATAATTTAATAAAATTATATATTAAATATAATTTTATATATTAGCAATGAAATTGTATATATTAAGTAAATATATTGAGACCAGCAACAATGATGTGAAAAAGGAAAACAAATAATCAAGTACTGTCATTATAATAGGAAATTTCACTTTTAAGGTATGTGTAAAAAGATGAAGAACGGACCCAAAATAGTAAGTGTTCTCAGTAAGGGAACAACAGCTATTATGAACATACGAAACACATCTTGCTGCTGTCATATCTTTTCTGTTGCTTGTGGACTTTTTCCAAGTGATTATAATAGCTCCTTGTACTCTTCCTGAGATGATTCTTTGCATAAAGCATTGTAAGAACTTGTGACTTCTGGGGTAGAATGGTTCATAATTTGGGATTGTTTTCCATGAATCTTTTTCTTACTTCAGTGCTTTCCCATGTATATATGGACCTGGATTTGAATACAGTGGTACATGGCCGGAGCTGCACCGATCCAAGGCCAGGAGCCAAAAGCTTCTTCTGGGTCTCCCATGCAGGTGAAGGGGCCCAAGGACTTGCGCCATCTTCCACTGCTTTCCTTGGCCATAGTAGAGTGGGATTGGAGGTAGAGCAGCTGGGTCTTGAACCAGTGCCCATATGGGATGCCAACACTGCAGGTAGTGGCTTTACCTGCTACACTACAGCACCAGCCCCATCTATATTTTTATAAACTTTTAAATACCCTGTCCATTCATGCCTATTTTTTAGAGTGCCTTTTATTTAGTCTTGTAAAAACATTTATCCGGGGAAATTTTTTTCCTTACCTTAAACATTAAGATTTTTTTAAACTATTCATTTATTTAATCTAGTTTACTTGAAAGGCAGAGTGCAGTAACAGAAGAAAAGAATGGAGAGAGAGTGAGAGAGAGAGAGTTCTTGCATTCATGGCTCACTCCCCAAATGCCCACAACCAGAGCTGGGACAGGCCAAAGACAGGAGCCAGGAACTCCATTCAGCACTTCCACATGTTAATCATTAGCATATAGAAACCTACTGAATTTAGCAAGGTTCAGTCCTGTACAGTACATTGGAATAGTTTGAAAGTTATGGGAATAAGTTCTCCTTTAATTATTTTATATAATTCAGTACTAAAATTATCACACCCTGGATTTTCCTTGATGGAAGAATTTATTTACTCTTTCAGTCTCATTGCTTATGTATCTGTTTAGATTTCCTGTATCTTCTTAATGTATTCTCGGTAGGCTATATGTATCCAGGAATTTACCCATTTATGTGAATCTTTCCGGTTCATTAGCATAAACTTTTTAATTTTTTGGAATTTATAAGAGTGGAACAAATATATGTATTTCATATATTGTTAAAGAATATAATGATACTTCCCACTGTATCATCCATTTGTCCCTTTTTCCCACTCTATCTCCTCCTTCCTTTCTTATTTTTTTATCTTTTTACAACTATATGACTTCAATTAAATTTACAATCACAAAGAGTAACCCTCTACTTAAAAGAATTCAACAAGCAACTAAAAAAAAAAAACTCTCCCTCAGGAGTATAGACAAAGGCTATAAACAACAATCAAATCTCAAATTGTCTATTTTGTTCATATACAATGCATTTAATTTCTTGTGAAAGTTTGTATTTCAATGGTGTTGGTTGTAATACCTCCTTTTTTATCTTTTATTTTACTTTTTTAGGATCTTTTTTGATTATCTAGAAAAAGTCTTCTCTATTGTTTATCTTCTCAAAAAACCAGAGTTTTGCTTTTTTGCTTTTTGTATTTTTATATTCAATATCATTGACTTCTGCTTTGATCCTTGTTATTATAATGCTCTAAACCTTCCTTTTAATACTTTTTTGTCTATCTCCCACAAGTTTTGAATGTTTTCCTTTAATTTTCAATTAATTCAAGAAAATTTTTTTATCTTTTCATTTCTTCAATGACCCATTGACCAATCAGTAGAATGCTGTTTAAATGCCATGTATTTATGAGTGCTTTCTTATTCTTCTTGTTGATTTCTAGTTTGTTCCTTGTGGTCTGAGAAGATAGATGGTATGGTTTCCATCTTTTAAGCTTTTTTTTTTTTCTGAAAGGCAGATACCGGGAGAGTGCCTTCCATTCGCTGGTTCACTCTGCAATTGGGGCTAACGACATGGGCTGGCCAGGGGGGAGGGTTTCCATCTTTTAAAATTTACTGAGACTTGATTTATGTCCTGGTATATGGTCTAGCCAAGAAAATTTTCAATGCACTAATGAGAGGAAGTGTATTCTGTAGCTATTGGGTGGAATGTATTGAAAATGAAGGTTGAGTCCATTTACTCAATACTATGGTTACAATCTAATGTAGTTTTGTTGATTTTCTCTGTTGACTCCCAGCAGCTAGCTTGTTGAATACACTGCTATTTGGGATGCCTCAGCATAGCGTAATTAATTAATAAATTAATTTGTATGTTTTTCTTTTAGTTAGTAAATGTACATCAGCCAGTATGTAATATTAGATAGGAATATTGTGTGTCATCTGCCATGGTAGTTAGCTAACTGACCCAACATGGTTCCTACTCACTTTATTAGTGCTCCAGTATTGTGAAGTCTAATTTTGATATGTTAAATTTCTGTATTGTGTCTTCCAAATCTGGATTCTCTATTCTAAATGTACACATCTGTCTAGTAGGTAGCAGCTCTTCACTGTTTATATGCTGTAACTAATAGGCAAATCACCTCATCAACTATTTTTAAAACTATTTTACCATGAAATATTTTTTCTTCCTTTCTCTTTCAGTCTTCATGCATCCTTCTTGACAAAGTGTGTTTCTTGTAGGCAGCAAATATATTGGCCTTGTTTTGAATTCATTTGGCCATTGTATCTTTTATTTATTTATTTTTTTGAGAGGCAGAGTAGACAGTGAGAGAGAGAGACAGAGAGAAAGGTCTTCCTTTTGCCATTGGTACACCCTCCAATGGCCACCGTGGCCAGTGCGCTGCAGCTGGCGCATCACGCTGATCCAATGGCAGGAGCCAGGTGCTTCTCCTGGTCTCCCATGGGGTGCAGGGCCCAAGCACTTGGGCCATCCTCCACTGCACTCCCAGGCCATAGCAGAGAGCTGGCCTGGAAGAGGGGCAACTGGGACAGAATCTGGCGCCCCAACCGGGACTAGAACCTGGTGTGCTGGTGCCGCAAGGTGGAGGATTAGCCTATTGAGCCATGGCACCGGCCAACCATTGTATCTTTTAACTGGAGATTCGAGGCCATTTACATTCAAGGTAACTATTGATAAGTAACTGGCCCTTTCACTTTTCTGTGAATGTTTCTGTAATTTACTTTGGATTTTTTTTTTTGCACTTTACTTGAGGATTTCTGTCTTTGCATTCTTTCATGATGATGGCTTTCTTTCTGTGTTTCTGTGTGTAGCACATCACTTAGCATCTTTGAAAGGTAGAGGGATGAGTAAGAAAGTTAGGAGTTTGAGTGGGAGAGGGAGAATCACCATGTTCCCAAATTTATGTATATTAAATTCATGAAGTTATATTCCTTAAACAAATTTAAAAAAATTTAAAACTACCTTAAAGGACTTCAACTTTTTGAAGAAGATTTAAACTCTCATTGACTATAGATATTGATTTTAATTTATTATATATAACAAACACACTCATATTATATTTATACATATGTGTGTGTGTGTGTGTGTGTAAACACACCTAGGACAACTAGAATTGAAATATTCCTACATTTTTTCCAGCCTCCTGATGTGACTCTTTTTCAGCTTTTCGTCCATGCACCAAATGTGTTGTATATGATTATTAGCTTCCCTCTGGAAACATTTCAAAACAATGAAAATAGTGTATATTTACTACTTTTACCATTTTACTCCAATTCTGCGATTTATTTTTTATTCATTTAGAATAATAATGAAGTTCTTTATAGTACTTTTTTTCTAGGAATGAGGAGTTTTCCATTTAACATCAGTTTTTATCTTTTAAGAAATATCTAATTTTTAAACATAATTCATTGTTTTATACTTTTTTAATTTTTTGCTTTCATTTTAATGACTTCACATATTTTTTTTTTGACAGGCAGAGTGGATGGTGAGAGAGAAAGACAAAGAGAAAGGTCTTCATTTTGCCGTTGGTACACCCTCCAATGGCCGCCACAGCTGGCGTGCTGGGTTGGTGCACTGTGCTGATCCGAAGCCAGGAGCTAGGTGCTTCTCCTGGTCTCCCATGGGGTGCAGGGCCATGGGAGGAGGATTACCCTGTTGAGCCATGGCGCCAGCCCACATATTGTTTTTACATTTCTGTGTCTATCTTCTTTAATTTAATGGTTCATTTATTTATTAGAATATTTATTTGTAAAATATTAACTGGCAAATGATGGCTACCACTTTTCTATATCTGTGTATATACTGTTAACTTCTAAATAATTCTTTTTAGTTTTAATATTCTAGCAGTCTGTTATTTTGGGGAATTTTTATTTTGTATAGTTACATAATTTTCTTTTTAAGTTTTTTTCTTTCTGATTATTAGTATTCTGATACTACTGTCAGGTAATGGTACTGTAAGATTCTAATTTGGGAGATTTATTAGGAAGTTTTTTGAACAATTACAATGTTGATATTGCCATATGTTGTATGCTACATGAAAAAATTCTGCAGGCTGGCGCCGCGGCTCACTGGGCTAATCCTCCGCCTTGCGGCGCCGGCACACCAGGTTCTAGTCCCGCTCGGGGCGCCAGATTCTGTCCCAGTTGCCCCTCTTCCAGGCCAGCTCTCTGCTATGGCCCGGGAGTGCAGTGGAGGATGGCCCAAGTGCTTGGGCCCTGCACCCCATGGGAGACCAGGAGAAGTACCTGGCTCCTGCCATCGGATCAGCGTGATGCGCCAGCCGCAGCGCACTGGCCACAGTGGCCATTGGAGGGTGTACCAATGGCAAAAGGAAGACCTTTCTCTCTCTCTCTCTCTCTCTCTCTCTCTCACTGTTAACTCTGCCTGTCAAAAAAAAAAGTTTGTAAAAAAAATTATGCAAATTCTCTTGTAGGGGCTGGTTCACACAGATATCAAGTGAATTTTAAAAAAAATTATTAAATCGATTTTGTTAATGCTTTGTATAAGTACCACTAAACATAAGTGTGTATAAATCTCCTATTAGGATTCTTGCCAAATCAAATTATTTATGAGCTTACTAGAATTTTTCCCTTTACCTATTATATTATATTGTCCTGTACAAAAAAATTTCTGTCCTGTTTATCAGTGTAAACCATTTGTTTTCCTGCCAGATCATTTAGATACAAATTTTACTTAAATTTATATTCACATTGACACTTGTTTTCTTGATGCTGGAATTCTGCCATGTACTTTTGTTTGTGCCTCATTTTCAATACTATTTTTGCTGCTCTATAATTTCACAATTGGTATAAAAACATACATATTACACCTCTGCTTATCCTTCTTTGAATGATTAGGTTTTTCATCAATTTTGCTCTTGTAACAAGTGCTGCTATGTACTTTCTTTAGGATGTTATTTGGAAACAACTTCAAACATTCTGTAGGATCTATTTCCAGGACAGGATTACCAAGTTCCATGTACATGAATATCCAAATTTATATGATGGTGCAATATTTCCATAATAAAGCCAGTGTATAAGCTTATAATGAAACCAGTAATTAACAAGTTCTAAATTTTTCTCTCATAAATTTTCCCTAATAATCTTTGATAATGATCTTTTTCATATTTTGTCAATGTGGTGCATACAAAAGTACATCTCAAAATGATCTTCATGCCAGCGCCGCGGCTTACAAGGCTAATCCTCCTCCTGCAGCACTGGCACTCCAGGTTCTAATCCCGGTTGGGGCACCAGATTCTGTCCTGGTTCTGCTCCTCTTCCAGTCCAGCTCTCTGCTGTGGCCCAGGAAGACAGTGGAGGATGGCCCAAGTGCTTAGGCCCTGCATCCGCATGGGACACCAGGAGGAAGCACCTGGCTCCTGGATTTAGATTGGCGCAGCACGCCAGCCATAGCGGCCATCTGGGGGGTGAACCAACGGAAGGAAGACCTTATCTCTGTCTCTCTCTCACTGTCTAACTCTGCCTGTCAAAAAAAAATGATCTTTATTGGAATATTCATAATCATCAGTTACATGTTGTACTTCCTGTTATGTTTGTTGCCATAATTTTTTTTTAGAAATAAAGAGTGTTGTTAAGTATTCATGACATGGATTAATGACTCATAGTTTTACCAGTACTTTTTCTAGTCATTCTTTTTTTTATTTTTAAGATTTACTTATTTTATTTTATTTGAAAGGCAGAGTTACAGAGTGAGAGAGGTCTTCCATCCACTGGTTCACTCCCCAGATGGCCACAATGGCTGAAGATGTACCAATCTGAAGCCAGGAGCCAGGAACTTCTTCCAGGTCTCCCACAAGGGTGCAGGCATCTAAGAACTTGGGCCATCTTCCATTGCATTCCCAGGCCATAGTAGAGAGCTGGATTGGAAGTGGAGCAGCCCAGACTTGAACCAGTGCCCAAATTGGATACTGGCACTTCAGGCAGTGGCTTTACCTACCACTCACAGTGCCAGTCCCCATAATTCTTTTTTATTCTGTGAAGGGACAATGTTTTTGCCCAATATTTTATTACTTGTTACTGTTCTCTTAAATATGCTTTATATATATTCTGGATATTGATCCACTGTTTCTTGTGTTGTTTCTCTCATAATTTGCATGATTGTGTAACTTTATGGTATGTTTGATAATAATCACTCTCAATGTAGTAAACGGTCCAAATTTTATTTTGAAAAAGTGTTTTCTTCTTTGTTCCATGTTGAAAGATTAGAAATATATTTTTGGTTTTCTGGATGCCAATGATTTAATTCATATTTAAATTAATAATTTAGGAAACAATGTTTAGCATGATGAGTGATAAAAGTGCATTGTTTTTCCATATGGATAACTATTTCTTCCATCATAAGTAGTTCTTCATTTTTTCACAATTTCAAAAGCTACCTTGGATATACATCAAATATCACATAATACTTATGAAAATTAGATGTTTCAGCTATTATACAATCTGCAACATAATATTTATAGTCTACAAATAATCAACTTCACATTCAGACATTTATCCTAAAATTTTAAACATATGTGCAATGTCATATGAATAAAATTATTTTTTCAACATTCTTTTTAATGGTATACAAATTTGATGATAACATAAATTTTTGTCACAAGAAGACTGAGTGTAAACAATATTTATGCATTCATGTAATGTAATATTATAGGATTGCAAGGATAATAAGAATAAATGAGAAAATTTTAAATCACTTCATAACTTTCTCTGCAGATTATTTATGTTTACAGGAATCCTAAGGATGTTTTGGTTTCATATTTTTATTTTACAAATTGGATAATGACATTTGAACCTACAGATACCATGGAACATTTCATGGAGAAGTTTCTTGATGGAAAAGGTAATTACCATTATTTATCAAGCAATATGTATATGAAGTGATAAACTCATTTAGTACAATTCTTGAATATAAGGAACATACTTAATTGTGATGGAAATTTGCAATGAGAGTGAAAAAAACTATAGTGGTAAAAAAAAAGGAGACAATAATTTAATCAGCAGCCCAATGAATTGTCTATTGTTCCCAGGACCATTTGAGGACTGTAAAGGTTAGAAGATGTTATGACTAGAACATTAAACTGCCACAAGTATTCTTGTAATTCACACATGCTAACTGCATAACTGGATTTGTATCCAGCATACCTAACGAGTAGGTTTGGATGCTATGTTATCCAACTGTAGAAAAACCTAATATGGCTCTGTGGACAGTTTCATTCTGCTCCTTAAGAGGATACAATGACATAAGCAGCTTGTGGATCATGGGAACAGGCTCTCATTAATTTAGATGATTAAATTTAGGTTTTAGCTTCATATTGATAGCAAATATTGTTATCCTAGATCTTAGAGAATAATAGGAGAAATAGAGGCATTTGTTTTTCAGGTGGGGAAGGCAAGAAAAAAAAGGGACTTACCCAAAAGCTATCTTCAAACTCAGATGCTTGCCTAATTTCTGCAGTGAAACTTTCCTACTAACATGGAGTAGAATTGCTGAGGGGGGTTACTGTGAAAATCATGGAAATGTTCCCAAGAACACTAAACATTTTATGGATATAGATGGCCAGTAGCAGGAGTTTAATTTTGAGTTCTGAAGATTCCAAAACAGTAAAGGAATAATATAGGGTGCTGAAAATGAGTGCAATGTCTTGATCTTATAAATCAATCTTTCTCATAGTGGTAGGAAGCCTTTGGTTTGATCACATCAGAGGCTGGTACGAACACAAACATGACTTCAATATACTGTTCATGATGTATGAAGATATGAAAAAGGTAAGATGAGAAGGTTATTTTCTGAAATCATTTCATTAAAATACCTTTTTTCTTTTAGTACCAGTAAACTACATTCTCCCAGACATCTTCACACCTAACCAACTTTCTAAGGCTTTTGTTTAAGTGTCTTATTTTTTTCCTGCTCTCTTGATTACTTTGCTTGTCAGATCTCTCTTCTTTCTTTTTTTCTTTTCAACTTTTATTTAATAAATATAAATTTACAAAGTACAACTTTTGGATTACAGTGGCTTTTCCCCTAGTAACCTCCCTCCCACCCGAAACCATCCCATCTCCTACTCCCTCTCCTATCCCATTCTTCATCATGATTCATTTTCAATCATCTTTATATACAGATCAACTTAGTATATGTGGGGAGCAACTCGGACTAGACTGTTACTGGAATTAAGACTTATTCTATGCATCTACTCTCCCACAATATGGCGCTGGGAGAGGAGAAAACAGCTTCTACACAGCTGCCTCCAGTTCAGCCAATAAACTGTAGGACTTGCTCCTGATTGGAGGAGAGCAGCGTACTCGGCGTGTGGGCAGCCGAGTTGGGATTGGCAGAGGAGGACTATAAAGGAGGAGAGAGACGGCATGCACCAGGAACATCTAAGGGGAACACCTGTGCAGCCCCCGAGAGAGCCGGCCGGCGGTGTGCTGCTCCCCCGCGGAAGTGGGGAATGTGGCAGGGGGAACCGCCCTTCCATGGAGGTGGAAGGGTCGGTAGCCAACCCGGGAAGAACCAGCAGCAAACCCGGGGAGGGCCGAGCAGACGAAAGAACAGCGCAGGGTCCTGTGTCGTTCCTCCACGAAGATGGGGAGCGACATAATGGTGCCGTGACTCGGATATGAAGCCTAGGCAGGGCTTAGTGTCGTTCCTCCACGAAGAGGGGGAGCGACAAGTATATACTAAGTAAAGATTTCAACAGACTGCACCCACAAAGAACATAAAGTATAGAGTACTGTTTGAGTAGTAGTTTTACCACTGATTCGCATAATACAACACATTATGGGCAGAGGTCCTACAACGGGAGCAGGATCACAGTGACTCCTGTTGTTGATTTAACAATTGACACACTTATTAATGACGTCAGTAATCCCTGAGGATCTTGTCGTGAGCTGTCAAGCCTATGGAAGCCTCTTGAGTTCAACAACTCCGATCTTATTTTTTCAAGGCCATACTCAAAATGGAAGTTCTCTCCTCCCTTCAGAGAAAGGTACTGCCTTCTTTGATGGCCCCTTCTTTCCACTGGGATCTAACTCACAGAGATCTTTCATTTAGGTCATTTTTTTTTTTTTTTGCCACATATCTTGGCTTTCCAAGCCTGCAAAAACTCTCATGGGCTTATAGCCAGATCCAAATGCCTTAAGGGCTGATTCTGAGACCAGAGTTTTGTTTAGCGCTTTTGCCACTCCATGAGTCTGCTGTATATCCTGCTTCCCATGCAGGATTGTTCTCTCCTTTTTAATTCTATCAATTATTTGCAGACAATGGTCTTATTTATGCAATCCCTTTGACACATAATCCTATCATTATGATCAATTATGAACTGAAACTGATCACTTTGACTAGTGAGATGGCATTGGTACATGCCAACTTGACGGGATTGAATTAGACTCCTCTGGCACGTTTCTAGCTCTACCAATAGGGGTAAGTCCAAATGAGTATGTGCCCAACTGTACATCTCCCCACTCTCTTATTTCTACTCTTATATGTAACAGGGATCACTTTTTAGTTAAATTTAAACACCTAAGAATCATTGTGTGTTAATTGAAGAGTTCAGTCAATGGTATTAAATAGAACAAAAAAAAAAAAACACTAAAAGGAATAAAATAGTGAGTTATTCCACGACAGTCAGGACAAGAGCTGATCAAGTCATTGTTTCTCATAGTGTCCATTTGACATCTACAGGTTTCCTTTGAGGTGATCAGTTAGTTGTCACCGATCAGGGAGAACATATGATATTTGTCCCTTTGGGACTGGCTTATTTCACTCAGCATGACGTTTTCCAGATTCCTCCATTTTGTTGCAAATGACCAGGTTTCATTGTTTTTTACTGCTGTATAGTATACTATACAGTACATATATCATAATTTCTTTATCCAGTTTTCTGTTGATGGACATTTAGGTTGATTCCATGTCTAAGCTATTGTAAATTGAACTGCAATAAACATTGAGGTGCAGATGATCTTTCATTTGCCAATTTAATTTCCTTTGGGTAAGTTCCAAGGAGTGGGATGGCTGGGTTGTGTGGTAGGGCTATATTCAGGTTTCTCACAAATCTCCAGACTGACTTCTATAGTGGCTTTACCAGTTTGCATTCCCAACAACAGTGGATTAGTGTCCATTTTTCCCCAAATCCTCACTAGCATCTGTGGTTAGTTGATTTCTGTATGTGAGCCATTGTAACCGAGGAGAGGTGAAACCTCATTGTGGTTTTCATTTGCATTTCCCTGGTGGCTAGTAATCCTGATCATTTTTTCATGTGTCTGTTGGCCATTCGGATTTCCTCTTTTGAAAAATGTCTATTGAGATCCTTGGCCCATCTCTTTTTTTTTAACTATTATTTCATGAATATAAATTTCCAAAGTATAGCTTATGGATTACAATGGCTTTACCCCCCCATAACTTCCCTCCCACCTGCAACCCTCCCCTGTCCTGCTCCCTCTCCCATCCCATTCACATCAAGATACATTTTCTTTTTCTTTTTCTTTTTTTTTATTGACTGGCAGAGTGGACAGTGAGAGAGAGAGACAGAGAGAAAAGTCTTCCTTTTTGCCATTGGTTCACCCTCCAATGGCCACCGCGGCTGGTGCACCATGCTGATCTGAAGCCAAGAGCCAGGTGCTTCTCCTGGTCTCCCATGGGGTGCAGGGCCCAAGCACTTGGGCCATCCTCCACTGCACTCCTGGGCCATAGCAGAGAGCTGGCCTGGAAGAGGGGCAACCGGGACAGAATCCAGTGCCCTGACTGGGACTAGAACCTGGTGTGCCGGCACCGATAGTCGGAGGATTAACCTATTGAGCCATGGCACCGGCCCAAGATTCATTTTCAATTCTCTTTATATACAGAAGATCAGTTTAGCATATATTAAGTAAAGATTTCAACAGTTTGCACTCACATAGAAACACAAACTGAAAATACTGTTTGAGTACTCGTTATAGCATTAAATCACACTGTACAGCACATTAAGGACAGAGATCCTCCACGAGGAGTAAGTGCACAGTGACTCCTGTTGTTGACTTAACAAATTGACACTCTTGTTTATGGCATCAGTAATCACCCTAGGCCCTTGCCATGAGCTGCCAAGGCTATGGAAGCCTTTTAAGTTCACCGACTTTGATATTCCGACAGGGTCATAGTCAAAGTGGAAGTTCTCTCCTCCCTTCAGAGAAAGGTACCTCCTTCTTTGATGGCCTGTTCTTTCTTCTGGGATCTCACTCACAGAGATCTTTCATTTAGGTCATTTTTTTTCTGACAGAGTGCCTTGGCTTTCCATGCCTGAAATACTCTCATGGGCTTTTCAGCTGGATCCGAGTGCTTTAATGGCTGATTCTGAGGCCAGAGTGCTATTTAGGACATCTGCCATTCTATGAGTCTGCTGTGTATCCCGCTTCCCATGTTGGATCGTTCTCTCCCTTTTTGATTCTATCAGTTAGTATTTTCAGACACTAGTCTTGTTTATGTGATCCCTTTGGCTCTTAGTTCTAATATTATGATCAATTGTGAACAGAAATTGATCACTTGGACTAGTGAGATGGCATTGGTACATGCCACCTTGATGGGATTGAATTGGAATCCCCTGGTATGTTTCTAACTCTACCGTTTGGGGCAAGTCAGCTTGAGCATGTCCCAAATTGTACATCTCTCCCCTCTCTTATTCCCCCTGTTATATTTAACAGGGTTCACTTTTCAGTTAAGTTTCAACATTAAAGAATAACTGTGTATTAATTATAGAATTCAGCCAATCATATTAAATAGAACAAACAAAAAAATACTAGGAGGGATAAAGTATTAAGTTGTTCATCAACAGGGCAAGGACTGATCAAGTCAGAATTTCTCATAGTGTCCATTTCACTTCAACAGGTTTCCTTTTTGGTGCTCGGCCCATCTCTTAAGACGTTTGTTTTGTTGTTGTGGAGTTTCTTTATCTCAGTCTTAAATGCTGCTCCCAAATTTCTCCAGCAATTGGGTAGCAATAAAATTTGGAGTAACTGTTAGGTCTTCTCTCATTTGCTGCTTTATAAATGTCTTGGTCCCTTTGCCTAATGCTGTCCTTATGTCCTTTTCCAATAATAAATTTATCATGGCACTGAAAGCAAGGTGATTTTGTTAGAGAAGTTTCCAGGTTTTTCCTGATAGGAAGTCATAGTCTGAGGACCATAGAGACTGTACAGTTGTTTTCTATTTCGCTGTGTTAAGTGTCCAGGAGTAAGTAATTGGAATATAGTCATGATTAGTGAGACATTCAAATTGTCATATTTAGGTATTTAAATTTTAAAAAGTATTTATTAGCATAAAAAGAAGATATGTTACCTTTTGAGAGTAATTACAAAGTTTATAAGAACTGAACTTTGTGATGTGATTCTGGAATATTTACATTGTTCAAGTTTTTGAAGTGTATGTTGAAATCATGAATGCTCATTTCATAGTTCAACAGTTTGCATGTTTGTCTTATGTCTCTTCTATAAGTGAGACATTTTAAAGTGTAACAAAAGTTTAAAAAGAATTTGATCTTAAAAGAAGTGAGAATCTAGTAAAATATCTACGGGGATAATCTAATAGAGTGAGAAATTTTATTCTTCCTATGCTATGAAATTTTTTCACATATGGCTGGTGATTTCACTGAAGAAATTCCTTATTTTTTTATGCCTTGGTATAGTACATTTTAGACACAGAAGCTGTTAAGATGAGAAGTGTTCACTGTGTCCTTCCAAAATAAAAAAAAAAACAGTGTACTATTTTGTAGAATATGACTCATACTTATGGGCAGTAG